TCTCTGCTTAGTGCCTGCTTCATCTTTAGGTTATGGCAGCTTCAGCCTAGTCTCACAGGAGGAATTAGTGAACTTCTCTACTCCCTCCCAGGAAGCACAGCACAGCCCAGAGGGCTAAAAGTGGTTAATATGGCCAGCATTCAGGTGGCCTTCAGGACTTAAAAAAGAGATCTGCTCCTGACTTTAAGCTGATGTTATATGTTAAGAAGTCAAAGCATGTTTCTGATGTTTCCAAAATGTGGCGTGATTCCTTTCTAAGGCAACAGTGCTAGAAGAAATGCCTCCATTTCCAGAGAGGGAGTCCTCCATTCTAGCCAAGCTGAAGAAGAAGAAGGGTCCCAATACAGTTACCGATTTAGAAGAGACCAAAAAGGAAAGAAACTCTGATATCAATGGTAGCACTGATGCCACTCTTGTAAATGCAAGTTCAGCGGTAGGTTTACAGTACCTGTTTTTCAATCTTGCCGTTTCACAAGGGGAAGAAATAGGCACTTTGTGCAGACTTTTTTTTCTAATTTTTAATTTTTTTTAATTACACAAAGGAAAAAAAAAACATAAAAGTGCTTTAACATGAAAGTGCAAAAAATACAACACAAAGGGGAAAAAAGTTAATATATCATTATAAGAATAAACAGTTACAATTCTGTATATGCTTATCTAATACAAATATTATTCAAGAACATATATATTTCTCATAGAGTTATATAACTTTTTTTTTTAACCTAGTGTATTTTGTATAAATGAGTTCCGTATTGCCTTATACTTGTCCATACAAAGTCTACGTCTATAGGCAATCCACTCATAGGTGGCAAGTGCAATCAGGTCTTCAATCCATTGAATAAATGGGGCCGTACATTTATCTTTCCAATGCTGCAATATCAAACCCTTGTGTAGACATTAATGGTTAAACAATTCCAAACATTTACTACCACATTGCCAATAATTTGATTATTATTTGTTCTGGCCTTTACATGCCTTTAATTTTATGTATTTTATTACTGCAACCTTATTTTAACATTTTTGTAAATATTTCCTGAGACATTATTTATAGCCCCCTCCCCCCAAGAAAGTATCCTTGATTTGCTTTTATCATGTTTAATTTACATAAATTAGAAATTTAGATGCCTATAGATGTCATGTTTTGCTTAATTAATATACACGTTTGTGTTGAGCAGGGTTCTGTTTGTGTATGCACAGTCACACACTCAGTTAATATTAATTACAGTCCCACAAATAGAAGGATAAATATATACTGACAATCCAGGAGTGCCTTATGAGTAGATACAATGATACACACTTTTCCCATATTTTCTCTACTCTCAGCAGCTACTGTCTTCAGAGAGACACCTGTAATGACTGTTTTAGTTCCATATTAGTGTTTGCATTCATTTTGTTTGCAACACGCTGTGTATGTGGGCTCTTTCCTTTACATTCCCACCATCATGGAGTCTTGAATCTGCTGCTCACGTTTAATATCAGTAGAACTCTTCTCACAAAGCCCTGCTTGACCAGAGTTTGCAGTTGGAGAGCTACTCATGTTCAGGTGACCCCACAGAGAAGCTCAGCTTGGACTTTTCCAGTCAAATCGCCAGGGTCAAAATATGGGAAGCTAAAATAGGACATGTGGGGGTAGAAATTGTGAACCCTGCCCATACCTCTACACATTTTTAGAAAAACATGAAAAGAGATCTTCAGTTTTATTGTGACTGTTCACTTTGAACAAATTGAAAGCGGGGTCTTAATATTGTGTTTATCAGAGTTTTCCTCAGATTACATCTAACTCTGAAACAGGAGTGTTTGAGTATATTATAATAGAGGCAAATTAGTTTCTTCTGTCTAATTTTCTTTGAGTGTGTGCGTGTATTAAATTAAGAATTTTGGTTTAACTTTAGTACCATATTTACTTTAAAGTTAACATGGTTAAGCAGTGGTTTTCAAACTTGGCAAATTTAAGATGCATGGATTTCAACTCCCAGAATTCCCCAGCCCCCAAGTTGAAGTTGCCGAGTTGAAGGCCACACATCTTAAAGTTACCAAGTTTGAAAAACACTGTGGTAAAGCACCTGATTTTTCATAAACAGAATGAGAAAAAAAATTAGGTAGTATCTTGGCTCTGTATCTTATTAGCAACAATATTTAATATTCCTGTCATTTCTTGCAGTCTACTCCATCTCCTTCAGCAGACCTTTTAGGTCTTGGTGCAGCTGCAGTCACAAATTCTGTTCCTGCTACGTCGAGTGGTAGCTTGTTGGTGGATGTGTTTTCAGACAATTCTGCGGCTCCTCCATCACTTGCTCCTGGTTCTGAAGACAACTTTGCAAGGCATGTGTTAAGTCAATGCTTCCATTTCTTTCTTCTTCCAACCTTTATCAAATGTAGGTCTTCTGTGTTTCCATGAGATTATGAAATTGTTGGTCTGTCGCTTTAAGTGTCACTTACTTGCCTGTTCCATAGAATAGGATTGGCCAATTTCTGTATTCTCTTCTCCAGATGGTAGGTTGGGTTCTTGCCATAGAGAAAGGACCAACTGTATAGTAAACTTGGCACCTTCTATTGGAACGGAGCTCCTAATTAAGGCAAATGTTCATTCAGCCCTATATTCCATGGATGTGCTATATTACTAGCAAGCTTAAACATTTTAATTGGATTACCTACCCTGCTTAGAATAATTTTCCTATAAATGGAAAACATTTTTCCCCTCTAGTTTTGGGTGAAACTGAGTTAATCTTTTTGCCATACTTTGATTTTAAAATGAGGTAGGGCACAAATAGCTAAAATTTCATGGAGGGTTCAATTGGCTACAAGCCACTTATCTGGCTTCCTTGCCTTTGAGGAGCTCCATATATGGAAATGACAACTGAAATCTCCAACAGACAGCCTACAAAGTTATAAGTATGTTGGCTTGATAATAGCAACAGTTTCCCCTTAGTACAGTATCCTAATTTCCATAAGTGAAATACTTTTTAAGCTTCAGTTTACAGGCTTTCATAATACCTGTGTTATTGTATAATTGATGTTCAAATGTCCAGGTATGTGAAATAATCCTGACTGTTGGATTGGTCAAACAATCCAGTTGGCAAATATGATTGTGGAAAGAATCTGTTTAACTCTTCATCCCTTTGCAATCCACTAATTGCATCTTTTTTCTAAGATGATAGAAGTTGCTGAATTCCAGTGACAGTCACTGGAATTTGTAGTATAGAAATACTAAAGGAGGATACTGCTAATTTTTAGTTTAGAAATACTAAAGGAGAAGAGAAAATGGACTATTTTATATAAATTCATATTACTCTTGAGGCAATGTGGAGTTACAGGAAGCAGATGTGTTATTACTGTTCCCTGAACTGCTTTGAACTCAACAATTTTGGAGGGTAGCGTGTCAGCAGGAGAGGCACAATTAAATCCAGCATATATTTTAAATTACATTTAAAGTCCTGAATTTAAAGGAGGAGATAGATTTTTTTTTTTTAATTTCTTCTAACTCTTCCTCCTCCCTCCCTGCCTCTGTTCTTCTCTGTTGCTTCCTTTTTTCTATAGGTTGCTTCAATTTTGTCCTGGCCTTGCTTCAAGTGAACAGGTAGTTTCTGAGGAACCCATTGTTACTGAGCATATTCCTGATGAGCTTTTCCACTAGTAAGCCATGCTAGAACCTTGCAGGATTGGACTGCTGCAGCAACTTCTTTTCAGAATAATGTGCATTTCTAGGAGCAGAATAAGCAGCCACAGCCTCAAAGCAGACATGATAGAATATAGGCCATTTTATCATGCCAGCTCTGAGGCTGTGTAATGGTATGTGGGAATGGCCTTGGGAGACGGGGGAAAAGCCACAGCCAGGGGAACAGTCAGATAAGAGGCAGCTTAGCCCCCAGCAGGAATGTGGGCATGGCAAACATCTCAGAGGGTGAACTAGGACCCTCCCTAGTTTCTTGGGCTGTAAAGGCAATGGGG